CCGTCCAGAGCAGCGCGATCCTCCCTCCGTCTCCACCAGGCTTTCTCTTCTCCTTCCCACACCGTCCAGAGCAGCGCGATCCTCCCTCCGTCTCCACCAGGCTTTCTCTTCTCCTTCCCACACCGTCCAGAGCAGCGCGATCCTCCCTCCGTCTCCACCAGGCTTTCTCTTCTCCTTCCCACACCGTCCAGAGCAGCGCGATCCTCCCTCCGTCTCCACCAGGCTTTCTCTTCTCCTTCCCACACCGTTCAGAGCAGCGCGATCCTCCCTCCGTCTCCACCAGGCTTTCTCTTCTCCTTCCCACACCGTCCAGAGCAGCGCGATCCTCCCTCCGTCTCCACCAGGCTTTCTCTTCTCCTTCCCACACCGTCCAGAGCAGCGCGATCCTCCCTCCGTCTCCACCAGGCTTTCTCTTCTCCTTCCCACACCGTTCAGAGCAGCGCGATCCTCCCTCCGTCTCCACCAGGCTTTCTCTTCTCCTTCCCACACCGTTCAGAGCAGCGCGATCCTCCCTCCGTCTCCACCAGGCTTTCTCTTCTCCTTCCCACACCGTCCAGAGCAGCCCGATCCTCCCTCCGTCTCCACCAGGCTTTCTCTTCTCCTTCCCACACCGTCCAGAGCAGCGCGATCCTCCCTCCGTCTCCACCAGGCTTCTGTCAGCAGCACTAATGATAACGTCACGTTGTATGGTAATGAGGAAACCTATTGAGTCATACCATTTACATATTTTTATTTTATTTAAACAGTGGTGTAAAGTACTTAAGTAAAAACACTTTAAAGTACTACTTAAGCCGTTTTTGGGGGGTATCAGTACTTTACTTTACTACTACTAATAATAATATAATATGCCATTTAGCAGACGCTTTTATCCAAAGCGACTTACAGTCATGCGTGCATCAATTTTTTGTGTATGGGTGGTCCCGGGGATCGAACCCACTACCTTGGCGTTACAAGAGCCGTGCTCTACCAGCTGAGCTACAGAATGAAAAATAAAATAATGTAATTTTTACTCCATACATTTTCCTTGACACCCAAAAGTAGTCGTTACATTTTGAATGCTTAGCAGGTCAGGAAAATGGTCCAATTCACACACTTATCAAGAGAACATCCCTGGTCATCCCTACTGCCTCTGGCCTGGCTGACTCACTAAACACATGCTTCGTTTGTAAATTCTGTCTGAGTGTTGGAGTGTACCCCTGGCTATCTGTAAATTTTAAAAAAAACAAGACAATTGTGCCATCTGGTTTGCTTAATATAAGGATTTTAAAATGATTTATACTTTTACTTTTGATACTTAGTATATTTAAAACCAAATACTTGTATACTTTTATTCAAGTAGTATTTTACTGAGTGACTTTCACTTTTACTGGAGTCGTTTTCTATGAAGGTATCTTTACTTTTACTGGAGTCATTTTCTATGAAGGTATCAAGTATAAATATAGCCTACACAATAGCTTTCAACATACCAATATTTGTGGAAACTTTACAAATAAATTATGGTATGAATAATACAATTGAAAAAATAAAATGTCAAATTATCCATTAATTTTATCAAAGGTGGTAGGTAGCAAGTTTCAAGTTTTAATGTCACATGCACAAGTACAGTGAAATGCCTTTCTTGCAAACTCAAAACCCAACAATGCAGTAATCAATATCAATGTAGCACTAAAAATAACATTTACATTACATTTTAGTCATTTAGCAGACACTCTTATCCAGAGCGACTTACAGTTAGATAACAAGGTAGAACAAAAACACATTAAATAAGAAATAAGAAGAACAGGAGAAAGTAAGCATTCTATATACAGGGTCAGTTCCAGTCCCATATTAACAATGTGCAGGGATACTGGAGTGATGGAGGTAGATATGTATAGGGGTAAGGTGACTATATACAGGGTCAGTTCCTGTACCATATTAACAATGTGCAGGGATACTGGAGTGATGGTGGTAGATATGTATAGGGGTAAGGTGACTATATACAGGGTCAGTTCCAGTACCATATTAACAATGTGCAGGGATACTGGAGTGATGGAGGTAGATATGTATAGGGGTAAGGTGACTATATACAGGGTCAGTTCCAGTACCATATTAACAATGTGCAGGGATACTGGAGTGATGGAGGTAGATATGTATAGGGGTAAGGGGACTATATACAGGGTCAGTTCCAGTACCATATTAACAATGTGCAGGGATAGCTATTTAGCCGTTTTATGGCTTGGGGATTGAAGCTGTTCAGGAGCCTGTTGGTGTCAGACTTGATGCACCGGTACCACTTGCAGAGAGAACAGTCTATGGCTTGGGTGGCTGGAGTCTTTAACAGTTTTCTGGGCATTCACACCGTGAAAAACAGTTGTACTGCACTAGAGTGTTAAAACAAATCGATATTCCCAAAGTTTAGCATGCATGTCTTTGCAGGGGGGACTCTTATTTTGAAAAAAGAAAATCAGCAATCGCGCTAGCAGCATAATATCCTGCTGCTAGCAGAACGGTAATAGTCCCCTCAGAGCACTGGTTCTGATGTCAGCAAGAACGTGAGCATCAAGAAACTATGACGCTGATGGGGACACTTTGAGGACTGGTATCTGCTGCCCCCATGTGGATGCATGGGACCCCAGTCAGAGTAGAGACATGACCCCAGTCCAGTAGAGAGACATGAGACTACAGTAAGAGTAAGACAATGGCCCCCAGAAAGGAACATGGGTCCAAGCAGATCAGAGCACATGGGACCCCACCGGAGACCACAAGTGGCCATGAGTCTCCCCGCGCCGGCTGCGACAGAGTGGATTCGACCAGGACTTAGGAGCACAGTTAGACTGGTGGACCCATGCAGTTAGCACTGCGAGCAGTCCGACCAGTCAGAGACAAGACTATGACCCCAGTCAGAGTAGAGACATGGGACCCCAGTCAGTAGAGACTGGGACCCCAGTCAGAGTAGAGACATGGGCCCCCAGTCAGAGTAGAGAGCATGGGACCCCAGTCAGAGTAGAGACATGGGACCCCAGTCATAGATACCCCAGTCAGAGTAGAGACATGGGACCCCAGTCAGAGTAGAGACATGGGACCCCAGTCAGAGTAGAGACTGACCCAGTGAGTAGAGACATGGACCCCAGTCAGAGTAGAGACATGGGACCCCAGTCAGAGTAGAGACATGGGACCCTCAGCAGAGTAGAGGACATGGACCCCAGTCAGAGTAGAGACATGGACCCTCAGTAGAGTGTAGAGACATGGGACCCCAGTCAGAGTAGAGACCCCAGTCAGAGTAGAGACATGGGACCCCAGTCAGAGTAGAGACATGGACCCAGTCAGAGTAGAGACATGGACCCCAGTCAGAGTAGAGACATGGACCCCAGTCAGAGTAGAGACCCCATCAGAGTAGAGACCCCCAGTCAGAGTAAGAGCAGTGGACCCCAGTCAGAGTAGAGACATGGGACCCCAGTCAGAGTAGAGACATGGGACCCCAGTCAGAGTAAGACAGGACCCCAGTCAGAGTAGAGACATGGGACCCCAGTCAGAGTAGAGACCCCAGAAGTGAGACAGGACCCAGTCAGAGTAGAGACATGGGACCCCAGTCAGAGTAGAGACATGGGACCCCAGTCAGAGTAGAGACATGGGACCCCAGTCAGAGTAGAGACATGGGACCCCAGTCAGAGTAGAGACATGGGACCCCAGTCAGAGTAGAGACATGGGACCCCAGTCAGAGTAGAGACATGGGACCCCAGTCAGAGTAGAGACATGGGACCCCAGTCAGAGTAGAGACATGAGACCCCAGTCAGAGTAGAGACATGGGACCCCAGTCAGAGTAGAGACCCCAGTCAGAGTAGAGACATGGGACCCCAGTCAGAGTAGAGACCCCAGTCAGAGTAGAGACATGGGACCCCAGTCAGAGTAGAGACATGGGACCCCAGTCAGAGTAGAGACATGGGACCCCAGTCAGAGTAGAGACATGGGACCCCAGTCAGAGTAGAGACATGGGACCCCAGTCAGAGTAGAGACATGGGACCCCAGTCAGAGTAGAGACATGGGACCCCAGTCAGAGTAGAGACATGGGACCCCAGTCAGAGTAGAGACATGGGACCCCAGTCAGAGTAGAGACATGGGACCCCAGTCAGATTAGAGACATGAGACCCCACTCAGAGTAGAGACATGGGACCCCAGTCAGTAATTTAACATTTTAGTCATTTAGCAGACTCTCTTATAATTCACTTTAGATTATTTATTTGATATGCTAGAAATTATTGGACATGTGCATTTACAATTGGGACTGATGCTGTTTATTACGTTTACTGAGCACTCCTTCCCCAAAAGTATAATGCAAACGTACCAGACCCATCTATTTTGTCACTCCATATTTGCCGTAGCTTATCATAACAAGGAAATATGGCAAAGTTCAGGGTTGTCCCTAGTTACCACAGCCACAAAGTCATAAACCACGCCTATTTCTAAAATGTATCTTGTTAAATTGTAACTTTATACCTAACCTTAACCACACTGCTAACCTTATGCCTAATCCTAACCTCAAATTAAGACCCAAAAGCAAATGTTTGTTTTCATGAATTTTTACGATATAGCCAATTTGGACTTTGTGGCTGTGATAACTAGTGGAAACCAAAGTTCAGTGGCTAGAGACGTTGGCCGTGTTCGAGAGCATCAAAACCGTGATGTATCATGGGTAAATTGTGAATGACTGACTGATCTACAAATAATATTGACAAGTTATTTATGATGCAAGGTGATTTGTAGATCACTAAGCCTCGACTTGCCTTTAAAGTCGACTAAAAGGTCGAACGCTCCCATTGTTGCAAGAGGCGAACTTTAGCCACACAATACACTGTAACAAATTCACCATTCCTGTGGAGACGCTTGCGAATAGACAGTGTTTGTGCATTGTACGGGCTTGATTGTGGTTGCATATCTGTAGATAGTTCACGGGCTTGATTTTGGTTGCATATCTGTAGATAGTTTAGCTTCACGTATCGGGTTACTTACTTATTACCACCACAATGCACAGAGTAAAGGTCGTTTTTGGTCATTTATCGCCACGGAACACGTTTAAATCCCACAGTGATCCTATTGTGTCCGGGGCAGAATGTAGTGCTTTCTCCACCAGTCCAGATGATATAGTGGTGGTCCACGGGCTGAGGACTGCTTTCGGCAAGGCTAAAAAAGGATCTTTCAAGGTAAGGAGGACTAATGCCGCGTTCAAAACAACTGGGAACTCGGGAAAAACGAGCTTGACTAGGAAAAATCGATTTGAATGGTCATCCATCTCGGGCCTCTTTCTAGAGCTCCGACTTTCCGAACTGAAGATCACTGACGTCACTGATATGAACATTGGGTCACAGGAGAATTTCCAAAATCCAGAAGAAACCCTGCACTGTTGCAGGTCATTCCCACGGTGAATGTGTCGGCCCGCTACGCCATGAAACCCTGCACTGTTGCAGGTCATTCCCACGGTGAATGTGTCGGCCCGCTACGCCATGAAACCCTGCACTGTTGCAGGTCATTCCCACCGTGAATGTCTCGGCCCGCTACGCTATGAAACCCTGCACTTCCTGCACTGTTGCAGGTCATTCCCACGGTGAATGTGTCGGCCCGCTACGCCATGAAACCCTGCACTGTTGCAGGTCATTCCCACGGTGAATGTGTCGGCCCGCTACGCCATGAAACCCTGCACTGTTGCAGGTCATTCCCACGGTGAATGTCTCGGCCCGCTACGCCATGAAACCCTGCACTGTTGCAGGTCATTCCCACGGTGAATGTCTCGGCCCGCTACGCCATGAAACCCTGCACTGTTGCAGGTCATTCCCACGGTGAATGTGTCGGCCCGCTACGCTATGAAACCCTGCACTGTTGCAGGTCATTCCCACGGTGAATGTCTCGGTCCGCTACGCTATGAAACCCTGCACTGTTGCAGGTCATTCCCACGGTGAATGTCTCGGCCCGCTACGCCATGAAACCCTGCACTGTTGCAGGTCATTCCCACGGTGAATGTGTCGGTCCGCTACGCCATGAAACCCTGCACTGTTGCAGGTCATTCCCACGGTGAATGTGTCGGCCCGCTACGCCATGAAACCCTGCACTGTTGCAGGTCATTCCCACGGTGAATGTGTCGGCCCGCTACGCCATGAAACCCTGCACTGTTGCAGGTCATTCCCACGGTGAATGTCTCGGCCCGCTACGCCATGAAACCCTGCACTGTTGCAGGTCATTCCCACGGTGAATGTCTCGGCCCGCTACGCCATGAAACCCTGCACTGTTGCAGGTCATTCCCACGGTGAATGTGTCGGCCCGCTACGCTATGAAACCCTGCACTGTTGCAGGTCATTCCCACGGTGAATGTCTCGGCCCGCTACGCCATGAAACCCTGCACTGTTGCAGGTCATTCCCACGGTGAATGTCTCGGTCCGCTACGCTATGAAACCCTGCACTGTTGCAGGTCATTCCCACGGTGAATGTCTCGGCCCGCTACGCCATGAAACCCTGCACTGTTGCAGGTCATTCCCACGGTGAATGTGTCGGTCCGCTACGCCATGAAACCCTGCACTGTTGCAGGTCATTCCCACGGTGAATGTCTCGGCCCGCTACGCTATGAAACCCTGCACTGTTGCAGGTCATTCCCACGGTGAATGTCTCGGCCCGCTACGCCATGAAACCCTGCACTGTTGCAGGTCATTCCCACGGTGAATGTCTCGGCCCGCTACGCTATGAAACCCTGCACTGTTGCAGGTCATTCCCACGGTGAATGTCTCGGTCCGCTACGCTATGAAACCCTGCACTGTTGCAGGTCATTCCCACGGTGAATGTCTCGGCCCGCTACGCCATGAAACCCTGCACTGTTGCAGGTCATTCCCACGGTGAATGTGTCGGTCCGCTACGCCATGAAACCCTGCACTGTTGCAGGTCATTCCCACGGTGAATGTCTCGGCCCGCTACGCTATGAAACCCTGCACTGTTGCAGAGAATTTGATATTACCGGCCGCAATTGATATGGTGAAAATACTGTGTGGGGAGGCACAGACACAGAAACTCACATCAATACCTTTGTCAGATAACACTGTTCAACAAATAATTTATGCTCTGAAACCAGTGGTGGAAAAAGTACCCAATTGTCATACTTGGTGTAAAAGTAAAGATACCTTCATAGAAAATGACTCAATTAAAAGTGAAAGTCACCCAGTAAAATACTACTTCAGTAAAAGTATTCAAGTATTTGGTTTTAAATATACTTAAGTATCAAAAGTAAAAGTATAAATCATTTCAAATTGCTTGTATTAAGCAAATCAGATTGCACCATTTTTTAATTTTTTTTATTTATTTACGGATAGCCAGCACACTCAACACCCAGACATCATTTACAAATGAAACATTTGTGTTTAGTGAGTTTAGAGGCAGTAGGGATGTTCTCTTGATAAAAATGTCATGATTACTTTTGGGTGTCAGGGAAAATGTATGGAGTAAAAAGTACATTACTTCTTTAGGAATGTAGTGAAGTAAAAGTCGTCAAAAATATACAAAATGTAAAGTACAGATCCCCAAAATAAACTACTTAAGTAGTACTTTAAACTGTTTTTACTTAAGTACTTTACACCACTGTCAAAAACTCCCCAGCTTCTGCTCTCCAAATGGACATTAGCTGTGAGAGCTGAGATGTCCATGGATGCTATTCACGAGGACATATTGTTCTGTCTCACGATTCCCGAGCATGAAACGGCATGGGGGTGGGATGTTCAGTGGCGTGGCTATATTGACGAAAAACAGATTCCATATGGGATCGAATGGTGGGCTTTTGCATAGATGGGGCATCAGCTATGGCGAGACGGTGGGCAGGCCTCCGCACTCTAGTTATGAATGTGTCTCCCTCTGCCATATGGACGCATTGTATGATACACAGAGAGCGGCTGGTGGCAAAAGAGCTGAGCACAGAACTCTGAGATATACTGCAGCACGTAACTTCAACTGAACTACATCAAACCACCTCCACTGCACTATGTGGAGATGTGGGATCAGAGCAGGTTTTGAACAGTCATCCTACTCTGAATTCCAACTCGGGAACTCGGGCCTCTTTCTAGAGCTCCGACTATCCGACCTGAAGATAACTGACATCATGATTTGACCTCGTATTTTTCAGAGTTCCCAGTTGTCTTGAAAGCACCATAAAACCCATGGTAGGCTACCCTTTGCCAGCTCATATCTGTGTGAAGCTGGATTCAGTGCTCTCGTCCGCATTAAAACCAAATATCGATCGAGGTTGGATGTGACAGCAGAGATGAGGTGCACACTGTCCCCTGACTTTGAGAAGCTCCGACGCGACATGCATCAAGCCACACCCATCTCATTAATGGTGGTGAGATAAGAGACATGATGTCAGACTAATTGACTGTCGTAGCCCCACATTAAAAGTATGTAATGGTGAGTTGAGAAGATAATCAGAAATACTGTTAGAATGTTTTTCAATTGACTGCCATAGCCCCAAATAAAAAAGTAAACATTGGCTGTTACTTACGTAATTTATTTTACAAGGTTGGCTTCGTGAGAATTTTCAGATATCAAAATGGGTTCGTGGGGCAAAAAAGTTTGGGAACCCCTCCCCTATAATGCATTTTGCCATCTGGATTGAAAATGAAATACAGAAATATCAAATCTACATAAGTAGTCAAACCCCTGAGTCAATACATGTTAGAACCACATTCCAGCAACTCCAGTGTGGATTGGGCCTTGTGTTTAAGGTTATAGTCCTGCTGAAAGGTGAATTCATCTCCCAGTGTCTGGTGGACAGCAGACTGAACCAGGTTTTCCTCTAGTCTCCCAGTGTCTGGTGGAAAGCAGACTGAACCAGTCTCCCAGTGTCTGGTGGGAAGCAGACTGAACCAGGTTTTCCTCTAGTCTCCCAGTGTCTGGTGGAAAGCAGACTGAACCAGGTTTTCCTCTAGTCTCCCAGTGTCTGGTGGGAAAGCAGACTGAACCAGGTTTTCCTCTAGTCTCCCAGTGTCTGGTGGAAAGCAGACTGAACCAGGTTTTCCTCTAGTCTCCCAGTGTCTGGTGGAAAGCAGACTGAACCAGGTTTTCCTCTAGTCTCCCAGTGTCTGGTGGAAAGCAGACTGAACCAGGTTTTCCTCTAGTCTCCCAGTGTCTGGTGGAAAGCAGACTGAACCAGGTTTTCCTCTAGTCTCCCAGTGTCTGGTGGAAAGCAGACTGAACCAGGTTTTCCTCTAGTCTCCCAGTGTCTGGTGGAAAGCAGACTGAACCAGGTTTTCCTCTAGTCTCTCAGTGTCTGGTGGAAAGCAGACTGAACCAGGTTTTCCTCTAGTCTCCAAGTGTCTGGTGGAAAGCAGACTGAACCAGGTTTTCCTCTAGTCTCCCAGTGTCTGGTGGAAAGCAGACTGAACCAGGTTTTACGAGAAGATTTTGTTCTTAGCTCCATTCTATTTCTCCCTAGTCCTTGCTGATGACAAACATACCCATAACATGATGCAGCCACCACCATGCTTCAACATATGGAGAGTGGTAACCCATAACATGATGCAGCCACCACTACGCTTGAAAAGATGAAGAGTAGTGCTCAGTGACGTGTTGGATTTGATTTGCCCCAAACATAACACTTAGTATTCAGGATATGAAGTTAATTTCTTTGCCCCATTTTTTGCAGTTTTACTTTAGTGCCTTATTGCAAACAGGATGCATGTTTTGGAATATTTTTTATTCTGTCCTTCTTTTCAGTAATTTAGGTTAGTATTGTGGAGTAACTACAATGTTGTTGATCCATCCTCAGTTTTCTTTGGCAATTTTTCTGGGCCTTCCTCTGACACACCGCCTGATATAGAGATCTTGGACGGCAGGGAGCTCGGCCCCAGTGATGTACTGGGCTGTCCGAACCACCCTCTGTAGCGCTTTGCGGTCAAGGGCGGTGCATTTGCCATACCAAGAGGTGATGCAGCCAGTCAAGATGATCCCTGGTGCAACTGTATAACTTTTTGAGGATCCGAGGGCCCATGCCAAATCTTTTCAGCCTTCTGAGGGGGAAGAGGCACTGCCGTGCCCTCTCTTAACGACTATGCAGGTGTGTGTGGACCACGTTAGGTCCTTAGTGATGTGGAAGCCAAGGAACTTGAAGCTCTCGACCCGCTCCACTACAGCCCCGTCGATGTGGATGGGGGCGTGTTCTGCCCTCATTTTCCTGTAGTCCACGATCAGCTCCTTGGTCTTACTGAAGTTGAGAGAGAGGTTGTTGTCCTGGCAACACACTCCCTGTAGGCTGACTCATTGCCGTCTGTGATCAGGCCTACCACCGTTGTCTCGTCAGCAAACTTGATGATGGTATTAGAGTCGTGCGTGGCCACGCAGTCATAGTTGAACAGGGAGTACAGGAGGGGACTAAGCACACACCCCTGAGGGGCCCCCGTGTTGAGGGTCAGCGTGGCGGAGGTGTTTTTGGCTACCCTCACCACCTGGGGGTGGCCCGTCAGGAAGTCCAGGATCCAGTTGTAGCGGGAGGTGTTCAGTCCAGGGTCCCAAGCAAGGTGACCAGCTTGGAGGGCACTATGGTGTTGAACGCTGAGCTGTAGTATATGAACAGCATTCTCACATAGTTATTCCCCCTCTTGTCCAGGTGGGAAAGGGCAGTGTGAAGTGCAATTGAGATACATGCATCTGGTCACAGATACCTTAAAAAAAAAAAGTAGGGGCGTGGATCAGAAAGCCAGTCAGTATCTGGTGTGACCACCGTTTGCCTCATGCGGCGTGACACATCTCCTTCGCATAGAATTGATCAGGCTGTTGATTGTTGTCCCACTTCAATGGCTGTGCGAAGTTGTGGAAACTGGATCATGCTGTCGTACACGTCGATCCAGAGCATCCCAAACATGCTCAATGGGTGACATGTCTGGTGAGTATGCAGGCCATGGAAGAACTGGGACATTTTCAGCTTCCAGATATTGTATACGTATCCTTGCGACATGGGGCTGTGCATTATTATGCTGAAACATGAGGTGATGGCGGTAGATGAATGGCACAACAATGGGCCTCAGGATCTCATCACGGTATCTCTGTGTATTCAAATTGCCATCGATAAAATGCAATTGTGTTCGTTGTCCTTAGCTTATACCTGCCCATACCATAACCCCACCGCCACCATGGGGCACTGTTCACAACGTTGACATCAGCAAACCGTTCGGCCACATAACGCCATACACGTGGTCTGCGGTTGTGTGGCCGGTTGGGCGTACTGCCAAATTCTCTAAAAGTACATTGGAGTTGGCTTATGGTAGAGAAATGAACATTCAATTCTCTGGCAACAGATCTGGTGGACATTCCTGTAGTCAGCATGCCAATTGGACGCTCCCTCAAAACTTGAGATAGCTGTGGCATTGTTGTGTGACAAAACTACACATTTTAGAGTGGCCTTTTACATTTACATTTACGTCATTTAGCAGACGCTCTTATCCAGAGCGACTTACAAATTACACAAGGTGATGGGACATAAACCTAACAACTTCAATGACTCATTTCTCTGAACAGGGGGAAAAAACATCACCAAATTCACTGAGAATATATACAGTATGTTGAACACGTCCCAGCTTTATAGTTCTGGTCAAACATGGAGAACTGACATGGTATACGGGCTGTTGGGGGGTTTGGAGGGTCCATGGGTTAGGGTTAGGGTTAGGGGTTAGGGGTTAGGGTTAGGGTCAGGGTTAGGGTTAGGGTTAGGGTCAGGGTTAGGGTTAGGGTTAGGGTTAGGGTTAGGGCTTCTGACCATGTCTTAATCATTGTTAAGAGGAGGTTTGGTCCAAATCAGACTTTAGGTACTATAGTTATTTAATATTACAGTGAGGGAAAAAAGTATTTGATCCCCTGCTGATTTTGTACGTTTGCCCACTGACAAAGACATGATCAGTCTATAATTTTAATGGTAGGTTTATTTGAACAGTGAGAGACAGAATAACAACAACAAAAAACGCATGTCAGAAATGTTATAAATTGATTTGCATTTTAATGAGGGAAATAAGTATTTGACCCCTCTGCAAAACATGACTTAGTACTTTGTGGCAAAACCCTTGTTGGCAATCACAGAGGTCAGACGTTTCTTGTAGTTGGCCACCAGGTTTGCACACATCTCAGGAGGGATTTTGTTCCACTCCTCTTTGCAGATCTTCTCCAAGTCATTAAGGTTTCGAGGCTGACGTTTGGCAACTCGAACCTTCAGCTCCCTCCACAGATTTTCTATGGGATTAAGGTCTGGAGACTGGCTAGGCCACTCCAGGACCTTAATGTGCTTCTTCTTGAACCACTCCTTTGTTGCCTTGGCTGTGTGTTTTGGGTGATTGTCATGCTGGAATACCCATCCACGACCCATTTTCAATGCCCTGGCTGAGGGAAGGAGGTTCTCACCCAAGATTTGACGGTACATGGCCCCGTCCATCGTCCCTTTGATGCGGTGAAGTTGTCCTGTCCCCTTAGCAGAAAAACACCCCCAAAGCATAATGTTTCCACCTCCATGTTTGACGGTGGGGATGGTGTTCTTGGGGTCATAGGCAGCATTCCTCCTCCTCCAAACACGGCGAGTTGAGTTGATGCCAAAGAGCTCGATTTTGGTCTCATCTGACCACAACACTTTCACCCAGTTCTCCTCTGAATCATTCAGATGTCCGGGCCTGTATATGTGCTTTCTTGAGCAGGGGGACCTTGCGGGCACTGCAGGATTTCAGTCCTTCACGGCGTAGTGTGTTTCCAATTTGTTTTCTTGGTGACTATGGTCCCAGCTGCCTTGAGATCATTGACAAGATCTTCCCATGTAGTTATCGGGCTGATTCCTCACTGTTCTCATGATCATTGCAACTCCACGAGGTGAGATCTTGCATGGAGCCCCAGGCCGAGGGAGATTGACAGTTATTTTGTGTTTCTTCCATTTGCGAATAATCGCACCAACTGTTGTCACCTTCTCACCAAGCTGCTTGGCGATGGTCTTGTAGCCCATTCCAGCCTTGTGTAGGTCTACAATCTTGTCCCTGACATCATTGGAGAGCTCTTTGGTCTTGGCCATGGTGGAGAGTTTGGAATCTGATTGATTGACTGCTTCTGTGGACAGGTGTCTTTTATACAGGTAACAAGCTGAGATTAGGAGCACTCCCTTTAAGAGTGTGCTCCTAATCTCAGCTCGTTACCTGTATAAAAGACACCTGGGAGCCAGAAATATTTCTGATTGAGAGGGGGTCAAATACTTATTGCAAATCAATTTATAAAATTTTGGACATGCGTTTTTCTGGATTATTTTGTTGTTTTTCTGTCTCTCACTGTTCAAATAAACCTACCATTAAAATTATAGACTGATCATTTCTTTGTCAGTGGGCAAACGTACAAAATCAGCAGGGGATCAAATACTTTTTTCCCTCACTGTATATGAATCCTATAAACTGAAATGGCCAATTTGGGTGCAATCAATTAGCTTAATTTCTCAAAGTGTAATTCATCTTTCAAGAAAATAATGTTTCAGAAATGCTCATCGTATCTGCTTCTAACTACAGAAACAATCTGAGATGGTGGCTGTCAAACCTCTTTCTTCTGCTTTGTTAGGTGGAATGACCCATATATAACTCAATGTTCTGTCGCTCTCCGTCTCCCTGACCCATATGTAACTCAATGTTCTGTCGCTCTCCGTCTCCCTGACCCATATGTAACTCAATGTTCAGTCGCTCTCCGTCTCCCTGACCCATATATAACTCAATGTTCTGTCGCTCTCCGTCTCCCTGTGGTCTCCCTGTCTGTCTGTCTGTCTGTCAGGACACTACTCCAGACGAGCTGTTGAGTTGTGTGATGACAGCGGTCCTGGTAGATGTGGGACTGTCACCTGAGAGACTGGGGGACGTGTGTGTGGGTGAGTAATCAGTAGCTAGCTACCCCATAGAAGACCCCTATGATAAGGGTTTGTTACTCATGTGTAATGTACTTTAGCTGTAATGTTTTCTGCCCTCCAGGTAATGTCCTGCAGCCTGGGGCAGGTGCTCTCATGGCCAGAGTGGCTCACTTCCTCAGGTGAGTCTGCCGTACTGTTAGATATGACTCACAGGTATATAGAATGGCACTGAATGGTTTTAACCAGGAACGCATGTCTTTCCCAGTGGGTTCCCAGAGACTGTCCCTGTCTATACCGTCAACAGGATGTGTTCCTCTGGACTACAGGCTCTGCTCAACATCGCAGGTAATAATCCCACAGATTACAGTGTTAGTGTGTAGGCCTATGGAACTAGAAGAACGCCTCAGCACTCCATTCCAGTGTTAGTGTGTAGGCCTATGGAACTAGAAGAACGCCTCAGCACTCCATTCCAGTGTCAGTGTGTAGGCCTATGGAACTAGAAGAACGCCTCAGCACTCCATTCCAGTGTCAGTGTGTAGGCCTATGGAACTAGAAGAACGCCTCAGCACTCCATTCCAGTGTCAGTGTGTAGGCCTATGGAACTAGAAGAACGCCTCAGCACTCCATTACAGTGTTAGTGTGTAGGCCTATGGAACTAGAAGAACGCCTCAGCACTCCATTCCAGTGTTAGTGTGTAGGCCTATGGAACTAGAAGAACGCCTCAGCACTCCATTCCAGTGTCAGTGTGTAGGCCTATGGAACTAGAAGAACGCCTCAGCACTCCATTCCAATGTTAGTGTGTAGACCTATGGAACTAGAAGAACGCCTCAGCACTCCATTCCAGTGTCAGTGTGTAGGCCTATGGAACTAGAAGAACGCCTCAGCACTCCATTCCAGTGTTAGTGTGTAGGCCTATGGAACTAGAAGAACGCCTCAGCACTCCATTCCAGTGTCAGTGTGTAGGCCTATGGAACTAGAAGAACGCCTCAGCACTCCATTCCAGTGTTAGTGTGTAGGCCTATGGAACTAGAAGAACGCCTCAGCACTCCATTCCAGTGTTAGTGTGTAGGCCTATGGAACTAGAAGAACGCCTCAGCACTCCATTCCAGTGTTAGTGTGTAGGCCTATGGAACTAGAAGAACGCCTCAGCACTCCATTCCAGTGTTAGTGTGTAGGCCTATGGAACTAGAAGAACGCCTCAGCACTCCATTCCAGTGTTAGTGTGTAGGCCTATGGAACTAGAAGAACGCCTCAGCACTCCATTCCAGTGTTAGTGTGTAGGCCTATGGAACTAGAAGAACGCCTCAGCACTCCATCTTTATCAACTATCACACAACCATGATAGAGTTGATTTTGTTAACATGTGTTCTCTCTGTGTTCCAGGAGCCATCAGGAGTGGGTCATACGACATGGGTCTTGCCTGTGGGTTAGTATAGTCTCCTGTTTTAACCTCGTATGCCTTAAGAATGGATCATATTTCACTATTAATATACAGTATAGAACTTGAACCTATAACCTGCCGACACAGTCCCGGTTCCTAAACATCTACTGCTACGTTGTGTTGTCCCCAGAGTGGAGAGCATGTCTCTGCGTGATGCTGGGGAACCAGGCGACGTGAGCCCCAGACTGATGGACTATGAGAAGGCTAGAGACTGTGTTATACCTATGGGGTAAGGTTGTGCATAACCATTTTATATGGACTACTCAGTGAATTATGGATTTGCATCTACAAATCTACCGGCAATGTCGTTGACAAAGGCTGATTAGAAAGTTTCACAGAGAATTTGAAATGTAGGTTGGGTATTGCTAGTTTGCAACAACGTATCCAGATAATGCTAGGTCAGTGTGTTATTCCCCTGTTCCTCTGGACACATTACAGTAACAGTTATAATATATACTGAACAAAAATATAAAGGCAACATGTAAAGTGTTGGTCTCATGTTTCATGAGCTGAAATAAAAGATCCCAGAAATGTTTCAAACGCACAAAAACCTTATTTCTCTCAAAGTTTGTGCACAAATTTGTTTACATCCCTGTTAGTGAGCGTTTCGCCTTTGCCAAGATAATCCATCCACCTGACAGGTGTGGCATATCAAGAAGCTGATTAAACAGCATGATCAGTACACAGGTGCACCTTGTGCTGGGGACAATAAAAGGCCACTCAAATTTTGAGGCAGTGTGCAATTGGCATGCTGACTGAAGGAATGTCCACCAGAGCTGTTGCCAGAGAATTGAATGTTAATTTCTCTACCATAAGCCGCCTCCAACGTCGTTTTAGAAAATCTGGCAGTACATCCAACCAGCCTCACAACCTCAGACCACGTGTAACCACGCCAGCCCAAGACCTCCACATCTGGGATCGTCTGAGACCAGCCAACCGGACAGCTGAGGAAACTGTGGGTTTCAACAACCGAATAATTTCTGCACAAACTGTCAGAAACCGTCTCAGGGAAGCTCATCTGAGTGCTCGTCGTCCTCACCAGGGTCTTGACTTGACTGCTGTTCGGTGTTGTAACCACTTCTGTGGGCAAATGCTCACCTTCGATGGCCACTGGCACGATGGAGAAGTGTACTCTTCACAATGAATTTATTTCAATTGACAGATTTCCTTATATGAACTGTAACTCAGTAAAATCCTTTAAATTGTCACATGTTGCGTTTATATTTTTGTTCAGTGTGGAATGTTTTCCTGTTCCTCTGAACACATTACATACACACACACAATAACATACACACACGTACACATGGAGTTTGTACTGTAGATATGTGGTAGTAGAGTAGGGGCCTGAGGGCACACACTTAATATGTTGTGAAATCTGTTGTCAATGCATTTTAATGTATAACTGCCTTAATTTTGCTGGACCCCAGGAAGAGTAGCTGCTGCCTGGGCAGGAACTAATGGGGATCCATAATAAACCCCAGGAAGAGTAGCTGCTGCCTTGGCAGGAACTAATGGGGATCCATAATAAACCCCAGGAAGAGTAGCTGCTGCCTTGGCAGGAACTAATGGGGATCCATAATAAACCCCAGGAAGAGTAGCTGCTGCCTTGCAGGAACTAATGGGGATCCAATATAAACCCCAGGAAGAGTAGCTGCTGCCTTGGCAGGAACTAATGGGGATCCATAATAAACCCCAGGAAGAGTAGCTGCTGCCTTGGCAGGAACTAATGGGGATCCATAATAAACCCCAGGAAGAGTAGCTGCTGCCTTGGCAGGAACTAATGGGGATCCATAATAAACCCCAGGAAGAGTAGCTGCTGCCTTGGCAGGAACTAATGGGGATCCATAATAAACCCCAGGAAGAGTAGCCCATTGCAGGAACTATGGGGATCCATAATGCCAACCCAGAAGAGTACTGCTGCCTTGGCGGAACTAATGGGGATCCAAATAAACCCCAGGAAGAGTAGCTGCGGCCTTTGCAGGAACTAATGGGGATCCATAATAAACCCCAGGAAGAGTAGCTGCTGCCGTTGGCAGGAACCTAATGGAGATCCATAATAAAAACCCCAGGAAAGAGTAGCTGCTGCCTTGGCAGGAACTAATGGGGATCCATAATAAACCCCAGGAAGAGTAGCTGCTGCCTTGGCAGGAACTAATGGATCCATAATGAAAACAAATACAAGTAAAAATTACATTAGCAACAGTTAGAATACAGAATGTTTTTCTGACCTTGGCCCCATGCAGCATTCATTCTACTGACTCCGATTAGTCTCACAGTGGAACACATATACACAGTCTCACTCTCACTCTCACACACACACACACACACACACACACGTCTCTCTGTGGGACTGACTGCAGTGGTGGGATGTCGTCTGTGTTGATAATGTTCCTGGCCTGGGCTGTGGTGTGTGTCATCATATAATAATCTGTGTGTTTTGGCGGCAGCATCACCTCAGAGAACGTGGCAGAGAGGTTCGGTATCTCCAGAGAGAAGCAGGATGCATTTGCCTTCAGCTCTCAGCAGAAGTAAGCTGTTATCACATACATGTATGGTGTGTCCCAAATGGCACCCTATATAGTACACTCCTTTAGACCAGAGCCCTATAGTGGGTTATATGGGTTAGTAGTAAACACCACTCCTTTAGAAGACAGAGCCCTATAGTGGTTATATGGGTTAGTAGTGCACTCCCTTTAGACCAGAGCCCTATAGTGGGTTTATATGGGTTAGTAGTGATCCCAAATGGCAACCCTATATAGTACACTCCTTTAGACAGAGCCCTATAGTGGGTTATATGGGTTAGTAGTGATCCCAAATGGCACCCTATATAGTACACTCCTTTAGACAGAGCCCTATAGTGGGTTATATGGGTTAGTAGTGATCCCAAATGGCACCCTATATAGTACACTCCTTTAGACAGAGCCCTATAGTGGGTTATATGGGTTAGTAGTGATCCCAAATGGCACCCTATATAGTACACTCCTTTAGACAGAGCCCTATAGTGGGGTTATATGGGTTAGTAGTGATCCCAAATGGCACCCTATATAGTACACTCCTTTAGACCAGAGCCCTATAGTGGGTTATATGGGTTAGTAGTGATCCCAAATGGCACCCTATATAGTACACTCCTTTAGACCAGAGCCCTATAAATAATAAAATAAATAAATAATATGCCATTTAGCAGACGCTTTTATCCAAAGCGACTTACAGTCATGCGTGCATACATTTTTGTGTATGGGTGGTCCCGGGGATCGAACCCACTACCTTGGTGTTACAAGCGCCGTGCTCTACCAGCTGAGCTACAGAGGACCCTATAGTGGGTTATATGGGTTAGTAGTGATCCCAAATGGCACCCTATATAGTACACTCCTTTAGACAGAGCCCTATAGTGGGTTATATGGGTTAGTAGTGATCCCAAATGGCACCCTATATAGTACACTCCTTTAGACCAGAGCCCTATAGTGGGTTATATGGGTTAGTAGTGCACTATAAAGGGAATCGGGTGTCATTTGGGACACAGGGATGTATTCAGTGCCATGTTATTCCAGACAATCTCTAACTCTCAGCCTCCTCCCAGGGCCAGCCAGGCTCAGAAGCTGGGGATATTTGACCAGGAGATCTGCCCGGTAACCACAAAGGTTGTCGATGAGGACGGCTCTGAACGTACGGTTACCGTAACCAAGGACGATGGGATCCGGCCCGGTACTACGCTGGCGGGGCTGACCAAACTCCGAGGGGCTTTCAAACCTAACGGCAGCACCACCGCAGGTGGGGAGATCGAACACACACACACACACACGCACACACACACACACACACGCACACATTCCCCTTCTCTCTGCCCCAGCTGACGTTGGCCTCTCCCCTGGTCCAGGTAACTCCAGCCAGGTGAGTGACGGTGCAGCAGCGGTGCTGGTGGGTAGGAGGTCCGTAGTGGAGTCCCTGTCCCTGCCAGTGCTGGGGGTGCTGAAGGCCAGTGCTGTGGTGGGCGTGCCCCCTGACGTCATGGGTATCGGACCAGCATACGCCATCCCTGCTGCTCTGAGGCAGGCCGGTGAGTACAGACCACAGATCTTTACATTTACATTTTACATTTTAGTCATTTAGCAGACACTCTTATCCAGAGCGACTTCCAGTTAGTAGGTGCATACATTTTTCATACTGGCCCCCCGTGGGAATCGAACCCACAACCCTGGCGTTGCAAGCGCCATGCTCTACCAACTGAGCTACAGGAGGGCTTGGATTATGTGGACGTGTGTATGAACGTTTTCTATATGTTAGTGCACATGACATTTGGTTCTGGGATGCCGGACGCCTTTGATTTATCTGTTCTGCTAAACGAACTCCATTATCTCCTCAGGACTGACCATAGCTGATATCGATGTGTTTGAAATCAACGAGGCGTTCGCCAGCCAGGTGAGTCTCTAACTGGATTCAGAGGATTACTACCTTGGAGACAGACAGGTTTTCCTTTGAGAGTGAAGACTGGTCCCTCTCTAAGTTTCAAGGACCTTATTGCTTTTCTAAAACGGTTTCCAACCTATTTAAAAGAAGATGAACTACATGTTTTTATATAAAAAACATTTTATTTAATTCTTCCACCAGATGATTTAGTCCGGGCAAAAGCCAGTTGTTGGTTCTGAAGTTGCTAACCAAACAGGCTGGTCTTTAATTCTATTCTCATGTTTTGACCCAGTCGTTAATTCTATTCATTCCACGTTGCTATGCTAAACACGTTGCTATGCTAAACAAATCATTGGCGTGTAGCTAGCTAGCAGAGATTCAATGGTGATGAGAGAAAAGAACGTCAATAAAAAGTGATTTATTAAATAATTTATAAATAGGCAAAAACCAGCTGATTGTCAAGTCAATAAGATAATTATGGAGGATAGCTAGGCTAAGACTAGCATTAGAGCAAGGAGTCCACCTGTGGTACTGTAGCTAGGCTAAGACTAGCATTACTTCTCCTTTGCTAGCTAGCTAGCCAACTAAAGCTAACACACAATCACATCCAGCAGCTGTATGTTTGTTTTACCTTAGTTTCTATTGCCATTTCTTTGAATATGTCCATGAATGATCCTGGATCAGAGAAGCTGTCAGTCTCGTCAAGGTGGAGATTGTGGTGGAGAATGCTCCCCCGAAAAACGTCAAGGTGTTGCACAGGGCAGATAGGCACACAGTGAGGCTTATATTAACCCCCGCTGTACCAAACCAAAATGCTAGGCTAGTAGCATGGGGAAATATTGTCTAGATGCTTTCTTCCAGGGGAGATTAAGTTGATAAATTGACTGGCTGGGCTGTGGGTCACTGGATGCGCATTGATACATCTAATGGAACTGTTAACAGGAATTAACTGTGGAATGTGGGGATTGTGATGCTATAATTCCCTGCTATCAACCAATCAGCATCCAGCATCCAAACTTACCGTTTTATAATGTGTGTTAACCAATTCTGTATTTAAACCCTGTACTGCTGATGCTATGTATTGGCCAATGAGAGGCTTTGAAGCAACTAGTTGGCCATATAGAGCTGGAGCTGTCAAAATACCCATAAAACCTTTAAACCTAGCTGACCCTAACCCTAGCTGTTAAACAGGGAAATGGTTCCAATGGTTTTTCCACCATTAAATGCCCATAAAACCTAGCTGTTAAACAGGGAAATGGTTCCAATGGGTTTTCCACCATTAAATGCCCATAAAACCTAGCTGTTAAACAGGGAAATGGTTCCAATGGTTTTTCCACCATTAAATGCCCATAAAACCTAGCTGTTAAACAGGGAAATGGTTCCAATGGTTTTTTCCACCATTAAATGCCCATAAAACCTAGCTGTTAAACAGGGAAATGGTTCCAATGGTTTTTCCACCATTAAATGCCCATAAAACCTAGCTGTTAAACAGGGAAATGGTTCCAATGGGTTTTCCACCATTAAATGCCCATAAAACCTAGCTGTTAAACAGGGAAATGGTTCCAATGGTTTTTCCACCATTAAATGCCCATAAAACCTAGCTGTTAAACAGGGAAATGGTTCCAATGGTTTTTCCACCATTAAACGCCCATAAAACCTAGCTGTTAAACAGGGAAATGGTTCCAATGGTTTTTCCACCATTAAATGCCCATAAAACCTAGCTGTTAAACAGGGAAATGGTTCCAATGGTTTTTCCACCATTCATTTTTCTCATAGGGAATTTTAGAAACACTTCAAATAAGGACTGTGTTTCGTGTCGGCTTACGCTGGCGTGAAGTTTTGATAACCATGTACAGTGCATTTGGAAATATTCAGACCCCTTGACATTTTCCACATTTTGTAACAACGTTATAGCCTTATTCTAAAATTGATTAAATATTTTTTCCCCTCATCAATCTACACACAATACCCCATGACAATGCGAAAACAGGTTTTTAGAATTTTTTGCAAATTTATAAAAAACTATACACTGAAATCACATTTACATAAGTATTCAGACCCTTTACTCAGTACTTTGTTGAAGCACCTTTGGCAGCGATTACAGCCTCGAGTCTTCTTGGGTATGACGCTACAAGCTTGGCACAGCTGTATTTGGGGAGTTTCTCCCATTCTTCTCTGCAGATCCTCTCAAGCTCTGTCAGGTTGGATGGGGAGCGTCGCTGCACAGCTATTTTCAGGTATCTGCATAGATGTTCGATTGGGTTTAAGTCCGGGCTCTGGCTGGGCCACTCAAGGACATTCAGAGACTTGTCCCGAAGCCACTCCTGCGTTGTCTTGGCTGTATGCTTAGGGTCGTTGTCCTGTTGGAAGGTGAACCTTCACCCCAGTCTGAGGTTATGAGCGCTCTGGAGCAGGTTTTCATCAAGGATCTCTCTGTACTTTGCTCTGTTCATCTTTCCCTCGATCCTGACTAGTCTCCCAGTCCCTGCTGCTGAAAAACATCCCCACAGCATGATGCTGTCACCACCATGCTTCACCATAGAGATGGTGCCAGGTTTCCTTCAGACGTGACGCTTGGCATTCAGGCCAAAGAGTTCAATCTTGGTTTCATCAGACCAGAGAATCTTGTTTCTCATGGTCTAAGAGTCATTTAGGTGCCTTTTGGCAAACTCCAAGCGAGCTGTCATGTGCCTTTTACTGAGGAGTGGCTTCCGTCTGGCCACTCTACCATAAAGGCCTGATTGGTGGAGTGCTGCAGAGATGGTTGTCCTTCTGGAAGGTTCTCCAATCTCCATAGAGGAACTATGTAGAAAAAACATTGTAAAGTGGTTATCCCACTGGCTATAAGGTGAATGCACCAATTTGTAAGTCGCTCTGGATAAGAGCGTCTGCTAAATGACGTAAATGTAAATGTAATGTAGGTCTGTCAGAGTGACCATCGGGTTCTTGGTCACCTCCCTAACCAAGGCCCTTCTCCCCCGATTGCTCAGTTTGGCCGGGCGGCCTGCTCTAGGAAGAGTCTTGGTGGTTCCAAATGTCTTCCATTTAAGAATGATGGAGGCCACTGTGTTCTTGGGGACCTTCAATGCTGCAGACATTTTTTGGTACCCTTCCCCCGATCTGTGCCTCGACACAATCCTGTCTCAGAGCTCTACGGACAATTCCTTCGCCCTCATGGCTTGGTTTTTGCTCTGACATGCACTGTCAGCTGTGGGACCTTATATAGACAGGTGTGTGCCTTTCCAAATCATGTCCAATCAATTTAATTTACCACAGGTGGACTCCAATCAAGTTGTAGAAACATCTCAAGGATGATCAATGGAAACAGGATGCACCTGAGCTCAATTTCAAGTCTCATAGCAAAGGGTCTGAATACTTACGTAAATAAGGTATTTCAGTTTTTTATTTTTAATAAATTAGCAAAAATGTCTAAACCTGTTTTCACTTTGTCATTATGGGGTATTGCGTGTAGATTGGGGATATTTATTTAATTTTAGAATAAGGCTGTAACAAAATGTGGAAAAAGTCAAGGGGGTCTGAATACTTTCCGAATGCAGTGTGTGTATGTATATGTATGTGTGTGTGTGTGTGTGTGTGTGTGTATATATTCGTGGGGCCCCCCCTGTTTTCCCCTTCCTTTCCCCCTTGTTTTTTTCCCCCCCCCTCAATTTTATTAAAACCCCCCCCCCCGGGTTTTCCGCCCCTTGTTTGTTTTGTTTTCCCCCCTGTGTTTTCCTTCCCCGTTTGTTTTGTTTTTTCCCCCCCCCAATTTATGGGTTCCAGCCAATAGGGTTTAAAAAGGTTTTTGTTTTCCCCCCCAGGTAAAAAATTCAATATCTTAAAATTTAAAACCCCATGGGGTTTAAAAACCAAAATGTTTTCAGTTTAAATCCCCCCCTGATGTTTTTATACCCAAATTTGTAAAGGAAAACCCCCCCAAGAACCAAAAACTTGAAATTTGTCCCCCAAAAGGAAGTTCCCCGGGAAAAAATAATTGGTTTAAATGGAATCCCCCCCCACCCCCGAAAGAAAAAAAAACCAAAACCCCTGTTTAGTTTGATCTCCCCCCCGAGGGTTTAGGAAAAAATAATGTTGTTTGAATCCCCCCCCCAGGGTTTAGTCCAATAATCTTTTGTTTTATTCCCCCCCGTGTTCAGCCAAACTGTTTAGTTTGATCTCCCCCCGATGTTTTAGACCCAAAACGTTTTGTTTGTTTCCCCCCCGATGTTCGAAAACCCAAAACCCTTTTTGTTTATCCCCCCCCCCCTAAAAAAAAAAGGGGCCCCCCACGTTTAAAAACCCCCCCCCCCCCCTGTTCCCCCCAACCCCAAATTGTTTAGTTTGATCCGTTAAAAAATACCCCCCGGGAAAAAATTGGGCCCCCTAGTGCTCTAGTAAGTTAAAAAGGACCCCCCCGGGTTAACCCATGAGGCCCCCAAAGGACAGGAATTGGTTACCTATTTAGTTCTCTAGTAAAAACAGGACCCTTGGTTTTCCTATGAGTGGGTCTTAGTAAAATACAGGACCCTTGGTTACCTAGTGCCTAGTAAGTACAGGACATTGGTTACCTATGAGTGCTCTAGTAAGTACAGGACATTTGGGGGCATGAGGGGCTTATAAGTACAGGGGCAATGGTTACCATTTGGGGCTCTAGTAAGTACGGACATTGGTTTCCCCTTTAGACTCTCCCGAGCTAGAGGAAGCCCCCCCCCGGGGGAAATTACCCCCCCTGGGCCCAGGGGTCTACCCACGTAGCAGGTTTTCCCAAGCCAGGGCTGTCACAGGACAGACTCACAGTGGGCAGGGACAGGTGGGGGAAGAAATGGGACAAATCGGGGGACAGGAGGGGGTTTAAAGACAGGAACAGAACAGGGCCCGGAGAGGTTTAAAAACAGGACCGAAAGGGCGGGGGGGAGGTTTAAAGAAAGGGGCAGAAACAAAAGGGCAGGAGAGGAGAGGGGTTTTAAAAAAGGAAAGAACCCGGGCAGGAGAGGAAGAGGTTTTAAAAAAAGGAAAAAACAGGGAAGGGAGGGGGGTTTTTTAAAAACAAAGGACAGAACAGGGCAGGAGAGATTTTAAAAACAGGACCCGGAAAAAGGGGAGGGGAGGGTTTTAAAAACAGGACCCGAACAGGCAGGAGAGGTTTAAAGGGCAGGGCCCAAAAAAAGGGCCCGGAGAGGTTTTAAAAAACAGGGGCAGAACAGGACAGGGGGAGGTTTTTTTAAAAAGGACAGAAAAAGGGCAGGAAGGGGGTTTTAAAAAAAGGAACAGAAAAAGGGCAAAGGGGGAGGTTTAAAGACAGGACAGGAGAGGTTTAAAGACAGGAAGAAAAAGGGAGGAGAGGTTTTAAAGAAGGACAAAAAAAGGGCAAAGGGGGGTTTAAAGACAGGACAGAACAGGGCAGGAGAGGGTTTTTAAAAACGGAAACCCGAACAGGGGAGGAGAGGGTTTTTTAAAAAAAAAGGGGAAAAACGGGGAGGAAAAGGGGTTTTAAAAACAGGGCAGAAAAGGGCAGTAATTTTGGGGGGGGGGGAGAGGTTTTAAAAACAGGGCCCGAACAGGGCAGGAGAGGTTTAAAGGGGCAGGCAGAAACGGGCAGGGGAGGTTTTAAAGACAGGGGCCCAGAACAGGGGGAGGAGGGGGGTTTAAAAAACAGGACAGAAAAAAGGGCCAGGGAGGGTTTTAAAAGGGCAGGAAAAGAACGGCAGGGAGGTTTTTTAAAAACAGGACAGAAAAGGGGAGGGGAAAGGTTTTAAAAAAAAGGGCGAAAAAGGGCAGGAAGGGGCCCGAAACCCAGGGGGGGAAAAAATTTTAAAAAAGGGGCAGGCAGAACAGGACAGGAGAGGTTTTTAAAGGAAAAAAAGGACAGGAGAGGTTTAAAGACAGGCAGAACAAGACAGGAGAGGTTTAAAGAAAAACAGGACGAACCGGGCAGGGGGGTTTAAAGAAAGGACCCGAAAAAGGAAAGGAGAGGTTTTTAAAAAAAGGGGAAAAAACAGGGCCAAAAGGGGAGGTTTAAAAGAAGGACAGGAACAGGGCAAGGGGGAGGTTTTTTGAAAGGACAGAACAGGGCAGGATAGGTTTTTTTAAAACCGGCCCGAAAAGGGGGGAAGGAAGGTTTTTAAAACCCCGACCGGAGAGGTTTTTTTAAAAACAGGGGGGGAAAAGGTTTAAAGACGGGGCCCGAACAGGGCAGGAGCGGTTTTTTTTTTAAAGACAGGAAAAAGGGCAGGAGAAGTTTTTAAAAAAAGGACAGAAAAAGGACAGGAAGAGGGTTAAAGGGCAGGAGGGTTTAAAAACAGGACAGAAAGGGCAAAGGGGAGGTTAAAAAAAAAGGAAAGAACGGGGGCAGGGAGGTTTTTTAAAGGGCCCGGAGAGGGGTTTTAAAAACCGGACCCGAAAGGGCCCGGAGAGGGTTTTTTAAAAAAGGCCCGAACAGGGGGGGAGAGGTAAAAACAGGGCAGAACAGGGCAGGAGAGGGTTTTAAAGGGCATAACAGGTCCCGGAGAGGTTTTTAAAAACAGGAAGGTTTAGGAAGGTTTTAAAGACAGGACAGAACAGGGGGAGGGAGGGTTTAAAGAAAAGGACGAAACAGGGCAGGAGAGGTTTTGGGAAGGGCAGGAAAAGAAAAGGGGAGGGGGGTTTAAAGGGCAGGACAAAAAACAGGGGAGGAGGGGGGTTTAAAGACGGACAGAACAGGGGAGGAGAGGTTTTTAAAAAAGGCCCGGGAAAACAGGGGGAAGGAGATTTTTTAAAAACAGGAAGAACAGGGCAGGAGAATTTTAAAAAACAGGACAGAAAAAGGGGCAAAAAAGAGGTTTAAAGACAGGACGAAAAAGGGCCAGAGGGAAAAGGGGGAAAGAAAAGGAAAAACAACAGAACAGGGAGGAGAGGTTTTTTTTAAGGGAAAGGGCAGAACAGGGCCCGGAGAGGGTTTTAAAAACAGGGAACAAAGGGGAGGGGGAGGGTTTAAAAAACAGGACCCGAAAAAGGGAGGAGAGGTTTTAAAAAAAGGACCGAAAAGGGCGGGGAGGTTTTAAAAACCCGGACGAAAAAGGGGGGGAGGGGGTTTTTAAAAAAAAGGGCAGAAAGGGGAGGGGGAGGGGGTTTTTAAAAACAGGGGCAAAAAAGGGAAAGGAAAAGGTTTAAAGACAGGACAGAACAGGGCAGGAGAGGTTTAAAGACAGGACAGAACAGGGCAGGAGAGGTTTAAAGACAGGACAGAACAGGGCAGGAGAGGTTTAAAGACAGGACAGAACAGGGCAGGGAGGTTTAAAGAAGGGGCAGAAAAGGGAAAGGGGAGGTTTTAAAAACGGGGCAGAAAAAAGGGAAAGGGGAGGTTAAAGGGCCCGAAAAAGGGCCGGGCAGGAGGGGGTTTAAAAGAAAAGGACAGGCAGGGGGAAAAGGGGGGGAAAGAAAGGGAGGGAGGGTTTTAAAAAGGGCAGGGCAGAAAAAAGGGAAAGGGGAGGTTTTTAAAAACAGGGGCCCCCGAACAGGGCAGGAGAGGTTTTTAAAAAAAAGGACAGAACAGGGGCCGTAGGGTTTTTTAAAAAAGGGGCAGAACAGGACAGGGAGAGGGTTTTAAAGGGCAGGACCGAAAAAGGGCAGGAGAGGTTTTTAAAAACAGGGGGGAAAAACGGGCAGGAGGGGTTTTTTTGACAGGGGCAGAACAGGGAAAGGGGAAAATTAAGGACAAAAACAGGACAGGAGAGGTTTTTAAAAACAGGAAAAACAGGACAGGAGAGGTTTTTAAAAACAGGACGGACCCGGGAAGGAGGGGTTTTTAAAAACAGGCCCGAACAGGACAGGAGAGGTTTTTAAAAACAGGACAGAAAGGGAAGGAGAGGTTTTTTAAAACAGGAAAACAGAAAGGACAGGAGGGTTTTAAAAGACAGGCAGAACAGAAAAAAGGGGGGTTTTAAAAAAAAGGACAGAACAGGACAGGAGGAGGGTTTTAAAAACAGGACAGCAAGGGGGAGGAGGGTTTAAAAAACAGGAAAAGAACAGGGGGAGAGGTTTAAAGCGGACAGAACAGGGCAGGAAGGGGTTTAAAAAGGGGCAGGGGAAAAAACAGGGGGGAGAGGTTTTAAAAACAAAGGGAAAAGAAAAGGGAAGGGAAAAGGTTTAAAGGGGAAAGGGCAGAACAGGGGGGGAAAAGGGGTTTTAAAAACAGGAAGAAAAGGGGGAGAGGGGTTTTTTGACAGGACCCGAACAGGGCCGGAGAGGTTTTTAAAAAGGACAAACAGGGGAGGAGAGGTTTAAAGCAGGGACAGAAACAGGGCCGGAGAGGGTTTTAAAGGGCAGGAAAAGAAAAAAGGGCGGAGTACAGACAGAGCACACCCCTGTACTTGAAAGCCAGCATGTATGGGGTGACCCCTGTTCAGCCAGAATGACTGTAATATACCTTTTAAAAATTTTGAATGATCTGTTTCCTGCAGACGGTTTTTTGCTTTTAGGGAAATGGAAAAGGCCCCGCCGGAATTTCAGCTTCCCTCTCTCCACTACATTGGTAAAACCCCCCCCACGCTGGGGCGGGACTTCCCCTGGAAAGGGTGCCTCAGAAACCAGCATGGGTTTGGGGGCTGGGTGAAAGAAAATTCACCGGGCCCAAACACAGGAGGAAAGGAAAATGGAAAATTTCCCCTTGAGGACCATTAAAATGTTTTTATAACCCCGGGAAAAGTTTTTGAACACCTAATAAATTTAAGGGTTTTTCTTTCTTTAATTTTTATTTGTTTTAAAACTTTTTTTGGGTTAAAAAATTTTATCCATATGTGTTATTTATAGTTTTGATTTTTTCACTATTTTTTAAAGGGTTTGAAAAAAGTAAAAAATTTAAAAAAAAAACCCATTAGTAGGGTTTTGGTTTCCCAAAATTTGGAACCCGGGAGTGTTTTGTAGTTATAATGTTAGTTAAAATTTAATAGGGGGGACACTATATAGTTTTTTTAAAGAAAATAGTTTATCGGGTAAGTTTATACTGATTAGTTTTCATGATATAGTTTTTAATGATTTAGGGTTTATATCAAATAGTTTATTTCCCCCTTTAGTTTTAATGATTTAGTTATATAAAAGTTTATACGGAAAAAGTTTAACCCGATATAGTTTTTCCTTTATAAGTTTTTTTTACTGATTAGTTTTTACTAATTAGTTACAATGAAGGTTTTTTTACTGATATAGGGTTTTTTGAAAGTTTTTAAATGAATTTGGTTTTTAATGATTAGTTTATACTGATAAGTTTATTTCTGATATTTGGGTTTTTAATGATTTTAATTTTTACTTTATTTTAGTTTACTGATTTTAGTTTTCAAAGATTTTAGTTTACCCCTGCAAAAGCAGCTATTTAGGTGTCTACTGAAGTGTTTTTTTTGTATTTTTAAATTAAACTTAATGTTTCTGGGTTATTGTTTGGGATCACTCATGTGTTCTGGTTTTTATTTTTAGGGAAAATTTTCTACTGATGGTTTTCTGGGGGATTGTTTTGGTATCCTATAAAATTTTTGTGGGTTTGGTTTTATTTTTAGGTATTTTATCTACTGGTGTTTTTCTGGGGGGGGGGGGTATTTTTAGGTATTACTGAGTGTTTGGGGGATTGTTAGGTTAACTATCTACGATGTGTTTTGGTGTATTTAGGATCTACTGAAAGTTTTGGTTTTATTGTTTGTATCTAATGAGGTTTGGTTTTATTTTTAAGTATCTATCTATGAGTGTTTTTGGGTTGTATTTTTAAAATATCGATTAAGAGGGGTTTGGTGTATTTTTAAGGGGATCTTGATGTGTTTGGGGTATTGTTAGGTTTCACTGATGTTTGGGGTTTTTTAGGATCTACTGAGGGGTTTTTGGGTATTGTTAAGTATCTACTACTGATGTGTTTTGGGTATTGTTTGGT